CATCCTTTGAAGCAAAAAGCCCGAAAATCGACCTCAACTCGAGAATGAGGTCCACCTCTTCTTCTTATCATAGTTGCCGTAGTTCTATGAGAATGGAAATGAGAAGCTGTGCAAAAGAAGGGCACTAGTCCTAGTCCTTAGTGGTGATTACCTTGTAGATTGGAGATGTCTTTTAGTGACTGAAAATTTAGTCCGAAAAATTGGTCAAAGTGTCGCAGGACTTTTCGAACAACCTAATATCATGACTTTGCAGCCAGACGTTACGGCACTCCAGTGCGAGACATGAAAGTGAGGCAGTGCTTCACTTAGTTGCCACTATCTTGATTTCTTTTTTCAGTAGATTCTAGTCAATTCACCATAACGGGGTATTTTTGTTGCTCTTACTATCACGGGTTACATCTTTCACTGTTACTGTCACGTATTACATCTTTTACTGTTACTATCACGGGTTATTTTTGTTGTTCTTACTTTCACGGGTTACATCTTTTACTGTTACTATCACGGGTTATTTTTGTTGTTGTTACTATCACGGGTTACATCTTTTACTGTTACTATCACGGGTTATTTTTGTTGTTCTTACTTTCACGGGTTACATCTTCTTACTGTTACTATCACGGGTTATCCATTAATCACTACTTACCGTTTTCTTTACCGCGGGTTTTGTTAACATTCCCTTGTTTGTTGCCACTTGATTGTCACCACTTTTCATTTCTTGTTACACTGCTTTTGTTTGTTGTTATTCTAAGCTTCTCAGTCGGGATTGAGTCGTCGTTAATTGTAGTCTTTTTTGAAGCGTTTCCTAACGGTGAATACGTACTTTCGAGTTTTACTCTAGTCCTTAAACCAATCTAAATCTGTTTTTTTTCTTTCCTATCTCCATTGTAACTGCCGGATTCTGTCCATTTTCTACCTCATTCCAATGCTAGTAGGGTTACAGTTTCCCTAACAATGCCATATGATGCTACTTGTTCTAACGGCGCCATATGCTCTTGATTAGTTTTATTAAAAGTAGGCTTATGAAGAGAAAATGAAAAGTTCCTATGGTATCTTTGTAAAAAAGCCGAAAAAGGTAAGCTTGTTAGTGACAACTCTATGAACTGGGTCGGGCAGTAACTTGACAAGAAACACCATAAAGCACAAAGAAGTCATTTGAATAAAAGTGTTAGTAAAATACACGCTGTAACAGAGAAAGAAGCTATGGTAAGCGACGTAGAGGCACAACAAGGCACAGTGGCAAGCAGAGTAGGCGTCTAGCGAGAGAGCGAGTGATGGAAGCGCTAACTAAGAATGCACTCTCTGAAAAAAGAATTGCTACGTAACGTTCTTATCATATAAAAGGACACAACAAAGACCCTGTAATGAAGAATGAGTCAAATAAAAAAAAGAAAGAATGAAAAATAAGCAGGGAAAACTCACGGAACGGGAAAAACTAGCGGCGCCAATAGAAGAGGGGAAGTCGCTATGTGAACAAGAATTCAAACGAAGCGTACATCAAAATCTCAAGGAACATAAGAAGGTCAAAGTGTGTCCTTTTGTTTATATAAATAACAACTAAGTACAAGCAGAACGACCGCTATCGATGTAAGAATGAGTCAAATTAAAATAGAAGAAAAGTGAAAAACAAGCAAACAAAACTCAAGGAAAGAACTTACGGCGTTATAAAAGGCAAGTCCTGTGAAAACAGAAGAATAAGAAGAAGTGAGAAACGAGATTCAAAAGCGGACATCAATCCTAAAACAGAGTCAAAAGTGTGTTCTCACAATCATGAAGCAAAAGGAACACAACAAGACTACATGTAAATGCAAAGATTAGATCGCAACAAAAAAAGGATACAATGAAGAAACGTGGAATGGAGGCAACTCAGAACGGCGATCAGGAATCACGGCACCACAGGCGCAGAAATGCGGGAAAGATGGACATTGCAAAGAAGCGCTGCTTCAAAACAATGTTCAGAAAGTGTTGCTTCGCACAGAAATAGAAGATCACCTGTGCAGGACACTGTGCATGGAAGGAGGATCCAATTCTCTTCATAAAGCCTACTTTTAATAAAACTAATCAAGAGCATATGGCGCCGTTAGAACAAGTAGCATCATATGGCATTGTTAGGGAAACTGTAACCCTACTAGCATTGGAATGAGGTAGAAAATGGACAGAATCCGGCAGTTACAATGGAGATAGAAAGAAAAAAAACAGATTTAGATTGGTTTAAGGACTAGAGTAAAACTCGAAAGTACGTATTCACCGTTAGGAAACACTTCAAAACCGACTACAATTAACGACGACTCAATCCCGACTAAGAAGCTTAGAATAACAACAAACAAAAGCAGTGTAACAAGAAATGAAAAGTGGTGACAATCAAGTGGCAACAAACAAGGGAAATGTTAACAAAACCCGCGGTAAAGAAAACGGTAAGTAGTGATTAATGGATAACCCGTGATAGTAACAGTAAAAGATGTAACCCGTGAAAGTAAGAACAACAAAAATAACCCGTGATAGTAACAGTAAAAGATGTAATACGTGACAGTAACAGTGAAAGATGTAACCCGTGATAGTAAGAGCAACAAAAATACCCCGTTATGGTGAATTGACTAGAATCTACTGAAAAAAGAAATCAAGATATTCAAAGCTCTACACTATAACAACTAAGCATATCATCCGACAGGCTGCTGTCAGATGATGAGGCCTCTTCAGCGCCCATATCGCCATAACTGGCATCCAAAGCCTCTTTCAATCGCGCGGAGTCTTCCTCCTCTAACGTCTTTCCACACCAGGCCTCGCAGAGGTTCCTGGACACTCTCCCCAAAATCTCCAGTGCCCTCATTCTGACCTGAACAATATTCGTGTTACATTATCAGAGACGTGTAAAGCGTGCGTTCCAGAAAACAATACTGTTTCCAGCCTATCCGTGGGTTTCCCAATCTTACTTGAGGCCGTACTTCAGGTAGCTCCAGCAAAGCTCCACGGGGTTGAAATAACAGTGAAATGGGGGGAGCCTAAGCAAGCTCACCCCCATATCCTCGCAAATCCCTCCGCGGCGTAGCAACGCAAGGCTGCCACACCGCCTCGACTGGCGACGAAATGGTCAAGCTAAACATTGACTAAAAAAGGGATAAGGCAGTGTCGGAACGTAGACAAACCTCCTCTTGGAGAGAAGCTCTAGTACTGTCGGCAGCCACTTCGACGCCGTGCGAGTTGAGATAGCTTGGTAATCTCCTGTATCGTGGAGCGTCTGGTCGGAATCTGATGATACCAAGTTCATGTTTTGTAACTTGCTGATCTCTTTCACTCTCACCTTCTCTAGGGCTCTAGTATGGTAAGGAGCTTTTAACTTTTAAGGAGCTTTAACAAGAAACAGCATAAAGCACAAAGAAGTCATTTGAATAAAAGTGTTAGTAAAATACACGCTGCAACAGAAACAAGAAGCTATGGTAAGCGACGTAGAGGGACAACAAGGCACAGTGGCAAGCAGAGTAGGCGTCTAGCAGAGAGCGAGAGATGGAAGCGCTAACTAAGAGATGCACTCTCTGAAAAAAGAATTGCTACGTAACGTTCTTATCATATAAAGGACACAACAAAGACCCTATAATGAAGAATGAGTCAAATAAAACAAGAAAAAAATGAAAAATAAGCAACAAAACTCACGGAAGGTGGAAAAGTACGGCACATAGGGCAAGTCCTGTGAAACAACGAATTCAAAAGCGACATCAATCCTCAAAACAGAGTCAAAGTGTGTTTCTTTTCATATAAAAGAACACAACAAAGACCCTGTCATGAAGAATGAGTCAAATAAAAAAAGAAAGAATAAAAAAATAAGCAACAAAACTCACGGAACGGGAAAAACTACGGCGCATAGGGCAAGACCTGTGAAACAACGGATTCAAAAGCGACATCAATCCTCAAAACAGATTCAAAAGCGACATCAATCCTCAAAACAGAGTCAAAGTGTGTTCTCATCATGCAAAAGAACACAACAAGGACTCTGTAATAAAGATAGAGTCGAACAAAAAAAGGAACAATGAAAAAGGGAAGAGCAAACTCACAAAGCGACAGGAATCACGGCCACAGCGGCAGAAATGCGGAAGATGGACATTGCAAAAAGACCGCATCTTCCAAAAAATGTCAGAGAGTGTTCTTCGCACGAATAAAGACACTTCACGGACACTGCATGGAAGGAGGTCCAATATTCAGAGAATAAATAGAAAGCACCTGAACAAAATCAGAGGATGGGCAAAAACACCATCAAAACAGCTTGTATTGCAACGAAAAGCAAAAAACGCTGTGATACCAAAAATTAGAGTAAATAATATCAACTCACCTCTCGTTTTCTGGCGTTCAGGAAGCAGAATAACAGCTTAATTAGAAAAATAAATGGCGGCGATCAGCTGATTGCGCGGTGCAGCCGGCTATTGCGGGCAGAGCCCAGAGAAGAAGAGCGCGCAGAGAGGCGCGGCTTCGCGGAGAGGAGCGCAGAGAACGATGGACCGCCGTGATTGCTGCCCCGTGCAGCAACCGCCGCCACCCCTATTACAGCCGCCCGTCGCGTCGCTGCAAGGTCCGCAATTCCGCCTACCGCGTCTGAGGGATCGCGACTGTACATGGCTGCTGGAGCCATTCTTACTCATGCGAAAGCTCCGGAACCCAATCACAGCCAAAAGCAGTATGCACAGCAAAGCACGAAACCGGTAACTCAGTATCCACTTTCATCAGCCTTTCGAAGCAGAAGCAGATCTCGAAAATATTATCTATGATTACGCACAAAAGCGATAATCTCGCAAAAAAAACAGCTCTTATCAGGGCACATCAATGGTTGGGGATTTTAGTCGACTCTATACGACCCCCCCCTTTTTTTGG